AATTAAGTAAATTTTTTTTCTTATATTTGTTATTATAGCAAATCTGTGGGTTGCAAATTAGGCATGTCTGGTCAATGTTCAGTTTTTCCCTCATCATTTCTTGAAAGGCTGTCTTCCTCTACTGAATAGCTTTTATACCCTTTTTCTTTTTCTTGTTCTTTTTTAAGACAAAGTATTGCTGTGTTACCTAGGATAGCCTCAAACACTTAGTCTTAAGGGATCCTCCTGTTTCAGTCTCCCAGGTAGCTGGGAGTTTAAGTGTATGCCACTGTACCTGGCACTTTTGCACTTGTGTCACCTTTGGGCATATTTGTGTCAAATTCCTTTAGCCTTGATTGAGATATTTTTCTTTATCTTGTGGACATAGAGGATTATATTGATTGACTTTCAGATGTACAACCGAGTCTTGCATATCTGCCATATGTGGAATAAAACTTGCTTGATCATGCTATAATGTGTGTGTGCATTTTGTTATAGTGTACTGTAACATTGTTATTAACATGCTATAATATGTGTGACTGTGTATATGTGTGTGTGTGTGTATTTTGACTTGGCTTTCTAGTATTTTTTTTGAGGACTTTGTAGCTAAGTTCATGACAGATACGGATTTGTCATTTTTTCTCTTTCCTATCTTTGCTTTTGATATCAGAGTAACAGTCACCTTAAACATGCTACAGGAAGTACTCTTGTTTTGTAGAAGAAATAGTGTAAGGTTGGTGTTGATTCTTAAATGTTGGTAAAATTCTTCAGAGAAACCTTTTGGGCCTAGATAATTCTTATAGGACCTTTTACTTAGAGATCAACTTATACACTGGTTCTAGAATTTATACACTGGTTCTAGAATTATTGAGGTTATCTATTTCATCTTCAGTGAGTTTTAGTAGTGTGTAGTTTTCTAGGAATTGGTTCATTTTTTATCTTAAATTTATGAATATAAAATTGTCCATAGTACTCCTTTTTTGTGCTTTTAATAGTCGTGGAGATATTCCTGTTTCATTTCTAATATTGAGTTTGTTTTTTGTATCAATTTTGTTGATCTTTTCCCAAAGAGCCAGCTTTTGTTTAATCGATTATTCTCTATAGTTTTCCTGTTTTCAGTTGCAGTGATATGTACACTATTATTGCCTTCCTTCTGGTCCATCAGTTTGTGTTGTTCTTTTTATAGTTTCTTGAAGGATGAACTTAGACTTTGATGTCTTTCTGTTTTTCTGATATAAACACTTGATGCAGTACACATCCTTCACAGCACTACAGTAGCTATTTCCCACATATTTCATTCTTATATCTTCATTTCATTTCTAAATGCTTAAAAATTTCCTTTGAAAACTCCTTCAGCCATGGTTTATTTAGAAGTGTGCTGTTTAATTTTCAAGTGTGTATGGATTTTCTTTCTGGATTCATTTTTTAGTTTGATTCTGTTATAATCAAAACATGACCAATATGATTTCAGTGTTTTTTATTTGTTTATCTTGCTTTACAGGTAAGGAAATGGTCTCTCTTGATTACTATTCCACTGACACTTTAACATTCTTTTTTCTTTTGTTAGGCAAACTGTTCTATATATGTGAAACCCTGCTGCTTTATTGCTTTATTGTACTGTACGTACCTTTTTTGCATTTCTCTCTAGTAGTTCTTTCAGTTGTGGAGAGTGGTTTTATGAAGTTCCCAACTATTCTTTCTCTCTCTAGTTATATCAATATTTGTTTCATGTGTCTTGAAGCTCTGTTGTTTGGTTGCTTACATTTAGAGTTATTAGCCTTCCTTGGTGTCTTGATTCCTCTCTCATTATGTATTGACCCTCTTTAACTCTGATAATTCTCTTTGTTCTGTAGTCTACTTTATCTGGTATTACCATAGCCATTCCTTTTTAAGAATTAATCTTGTATCATTTGCTATTGTTTTACTTTCACCCTACCTACACCTTTATTTTTGAAGTGAGTTTTTGTAGACAGCATATTTTTTGATTGCTTATTTTTCCATTCTGTCAATCTCTTTTAATTGGTACATGTAACACATTTACATTTAAAGTAATTACTTTAAATGTGCTAGGGCTTAGCTCTACTATTTTACTTTTTCTTTACCTTTGATATTTGTGCTTCCATTTCTCTTTTTTCTTACCTCCCTGTGGATTGTTTGAATATTTTTAGGGATCCCCCATGTTCTCCTTATACTGTTTTTGAGTATCTTACTGTGCATCATTTTCTTACTGGGTTCTCTAGGTATGACAGTATACACACATAGTCTAGTAATACACACATAAATACAAAGCAGTCTGGTCATTCTGACATTTTACCCCTTTGGATGAAGTATAAAACCTTATTTTTATAAGGTTCAATTTATTGTCTTTATCTTTTAAGCATAATTGTCTCAAAACTTTCTTGTACATTGAATATAACAGCATAATTTGTTTCAACCGTTCAATATGATTTAAGAAATACATGGGAAATAGAGTAGTATATTTACCCTTCTTTTCATCTATTTTGATGTTCTTTTTTCCTTTATTTGATACTTCATATATTCTGTTTTATTCCCTTTCTGTTTAGCTAGTATTCAAGTGTAGGTCTTTTATCAACAAATTATCTCAGTTTTACTTTATATGTAAATACCATTTTTTTTCTTCATCTGTCTCCAAAACATATAGAGCTCATTGTTCACACATTTTTTTCTTTCAGTGCTTGAGAAATGTTATTTTACTTCCTTCCAGCCCCCATGATTTCAGATGAGAAATCTATTGTCATTCACTTTGGTGTCCTATTTGTGTGTTTGTTTGTTTGAGGTAGGGTCTCTTTGTAGCTCAGGCTGGCTGCAAATTCAGAATCCTCTTGCCTTAGCCTCCTGAGTGCTGGGATTACAGGTGTGTGCCACCATGTGTGGAGAGTATGTCCTCTTAAGTAATGCATTTTTTCTTTCTACTTGCTTTCAACATTTTTTTGTCTTTAGTTTTCAGAAGTTTAATTACTTTGTGTCTTAGCAAAGGTTTCTTTGAGTATTCTGTTTGGAGTTGTTTAAGCTTCTTGAATCTGTGGGTTTGTATCTTTTGCCAAATTTTGGTAATTTTTTAGCCTTTTTATCTTTCTAAATACCTTTTCAGTCCTATTCTTTCTTTCCTTTCCTTCTAGAACTCTTATTTTACAAATGCTACCTCTTTTATTATTGTCCTTCAGGTCTCTGAGACTTTTTAAAAATTTGTTTCTGCCTATTTTTTCTTTATTGTTCTATAAATTCTAATTACCTGTCCTGGAGTTTACTTATTGTATCTTCTGTCAACTCTACTCTAGTATCAAATCATTCAAGTAAGTTTATTATTTTCATTTTATCCATTTGATTCTTTTTCATGACTTATGTTTCTTTGCAGAGATTTTCTATTTTCTCATTTGTTTCAAGAAAATTCAAAGGGCTTGTCAAAGCCTTTTTGATCATTGTTTAAAAATTCTTTTCAGATAATTCCAACATCTTAATATTGGTACCTGGGTTGATTATCTTTTCTCTTTAAAGTTGTGTTTTTCCTGGTCTTCATAATGACATAGTTTTATTGTATTCTGGACATGTTATGTATTATATTGGGAGCATTTGTGTCCTATTTATATCTACTGTTTTGCATTAGGTAGTCTCTTTAGTTGAGGTATGGTGCAAGGGATGGGTGTGTTTTTGTTTAGTTTCCCGCGGGACCTTGTCTATACCATCCCATCAAAAAATGAAGCCCTGACTCACGTTGCCTCTGTGCACATGGGTGGTGTGGAAATTCAGCTCCTCCTTTAACTCCCCTGACTCACCGCATCACACCACTTTACTGCTTCTTAGTGGAGATGTAAGCTCAGCTCCCAGCTGAGCTCTAGTGACCTCAGATCAAGGGGAAGTGGAGTACTCACTTATATTGCTTTGTTGATGCAGGGAGAGGCAGAATTTCATCTTTTTATCACACCTCACTGACATGAAGCAAGGGAGGGAGCAGGATATCGACTTCTGCCACATGCCACTTCGTTCAACCTGATTGGTGCTACGTTGACATGGAGTTGTGGCTCCCAACAGGGCGCTGCTCTCACTGGGCTCAATAATACGGAAAAGTGCTGACTATCCCTGCTTTTTCCATGCCTCTTTTAGTCTTGGTTTCACCAATGACTATGGAGGGCAAACTACTCACTAAGCCTTACTGACCCCAAAGATGGTGGAAATTGGAGACTTTACTGTCCTCAACTTGCATTACTTTGTTTAGCTTTAATAAACACAGTAGATGCAAGAGGTTAGATTCTCTGCTGGGTCCCACTGACACCAGATCAAGAGTGAAGTCCAATGCTAACTAATCTTTCCTCACATGACATCATGTTGTTGCTGGGTGGGGATTTATGTTTAGTGTGCCACTGGATCTCAACAACAATCCCCTTGTGGGGAGTTGGAACACTACTTACTATTCCAGGCAAAAAAATTGCTAGTTATCTTCCTGCTGAACCTTGCCCCAGCAGAGGAGCCAGTACATCAAAGATCAATTGGATGCTCAGGCTTTTTGATACCACCTGGCAGATGAATTGAAGCTCCCAATGATTCTTCCTGATGGGAGATGTGTATTTTCTCACCAATACTACTCATGCAGGGAATGGATCACTTTGACTAATAGCTGGGGAAAGGAAAAGAGAAGCCTATTTCCTTGGCTATACTTATCTAGAAAAAAGCTAAGTATCTTCCATCATGCTGAGTTAAGAGGAAGAGAGAGAGAGACAGAGAGAGAGAGAGAGAGAGAGAGAGAGAGAGAGAGAGAGAGAGAGAGAGAGAGCAGATTAGTTATACTTACAGTAATTTAATAGATTTCTTAATAAATTTTTATTTGATATATTTCCTCCATTAGGATAATTTCCAGACAGCTGAATGGTTGTTTTAAAATTATCATTACCTGTTATTGTTGTTTTTTGGGAAGCAAGTATGAGAGCCTCCTCCCATGCTGTCTTCTCCAAGTCCTCCTGTATTATTTTAAAAATATGATTATACTGCATCCTTTTATTTTTTAGTTCATTGGTAACCCCTGTGATGACTTATAGTTTTCTGGATGGTCTGAAAAACAAGTGGAACCTTGAGGTAGAAGTTCAAGAAAAGTTCTTTCCATACCAGGCCACCCAGGTCAGTGCTTGGGACCATACACTGATTGAGAATGGTGAGAAGGTAAGAAACATTAATTTACCTGCATTGTATAATTTTTCTATTGCAACACTGGAGAATAGCTTCCAAATATTTTTCTGAAATATTAAACTCTGTGAACTAGGAAATGTTTCATATTTGAGGTATATTTGAGAAAATGATAAATTAAAATAGTTATGTTACTTCTTTCTTATTTCTCTTTAAAGTTTACTGCTTTACATGGAGAAGTGGAAAAAGTGAAACTAGATCAAAGAAGGTAGAACCTAAGATTTCCTTGATTGAAAGATGAAAGGCCTATCATTCAATTTTTCCCCTTGTTTATTAACATTAATTTGTTACTAAAACTCCTTTCATCAGCACTTCTGTTGACTTATTTTATTCAGTTTGGAACAAGAATTAAATTTTATCCTGTCTCAGAAGAAAGTCCTAGAAGATCTGTTGACTCCTGCGGAGGAGTCTGTGGACGACAAGAGTGAGCCTGTTTATCTGTGGCATGCAGATGAGAAGCAGGAAAGGATGTAAGTAACTGATAAACACTAAGGAATGGCCAGAACTTAACAACTTCTTTGAATGTATTCCAAACAACGGAGGGAAACACTGACTTAGAAGGCAGAGAATAAATATTAGTAGAAAAGGCAAATTCTTACAGTTGACATTTATTAACTACTTCGGCTGTTTTGTGGATGCCTGAAAATGAAGAAATCATTGCAGCAATTTTGTTTTATAGTATTCTGTATGCTGTTATTAATCTCAAGCATATGTATGTCCGCTGTAAAGTTTTTATGTTTGTCAAGTCTATTTTTAAATTAGAAATGCAAATTTTATGTGTGTGGTGTCATAGTATTGTGGAATATTTATGATCTCTTATTTATATTTGACTCTTCTAAACCTAATGCTCATGCAGGTGCTTTAGTGTTAAAATTTTTACTATTTTACAGGCAGCTTGTTAATCCAGGGGTAAACTACACAGCCTTCAAAAGTGGGATGATTTTGTCAATGTCTCAGTCTAGATATACTTTATTTGTGTATTATTCAGTCTTTACCTTCTATCACTCTATTGCCAATGTTCTTGCAGTTACTTTATCCCATTAGATGTAAGATTTGGCAATCATACCAATTTTAAAAGTTCCAGGAAACTTTGTATGCATGTATTATTTAGTCTAAATGGAGACTAAGTTAAACTTATTGTATCAGTGGCTTGCTAGAGCTAAAACTGAATTTTCTTTTTTTTTGAGATGAGTCTTGCTATGTTGCCCAGATTGGTCCTGAACTCCTGGGCTCAACTCTTCCTCTTGCCTCAGCCGCTTGAGTAGTGGAGACGACAGGCACACATCACTGCACCTGGCTCAGTTTAGGTTTTTTTTTTTAAGCATATAAATCAACTTTTTGTGGGGATATTAAATGTAGTAGGTGCAACTAATCAGTACTGACCCTACTTCTGTTTTGCTTTTGTGTTTCAGCTTTTGTTAATCTATTTTCTTTCTTTCACTCTTTCATTCATCTTTTTCTTTCCTCTATTCTTTCTTTGATTGCTTTAATGCATTTTATTATGTTTTGAAAACATAGAATTTACATTTTTGGTCCTAAGCGTAATCTTTCAAACATTAATTGCAAAATCTTTCAAACATTAATTCCTTTCCAATGTTTTTGAGGTTAAATTTATATTATGATAAGACTTTTGGGGCTGGGGATTTAGCTCAGTGGCAAAGCGGCTGCCTGGCAAGCGCAAGGTCGTGAGTTCGGTTCCCGGTACCCGAGAAAAACCAAAAAAAAAAGACTTTTACCAAAAACAATAATTTAGGCAACCTACTAGAACTTTGGCATAGAAAGGCAGTAGAGAGTTACCAACAACTCTAATTAAGTGTTTTAATTTTTCTGGACATTAACAGTGAAAATCTTCTGGCTGCGTTAATTCTTTTTTTTTTTGGTTTTTTTCCTCCGGTACCGGGAACCGAACTCACGACCTTGCACATGGCAGGCAGGCGCTTTTGCCGCTGAGCTAAATCCCCAGCCCCTCTGGCTGCGTTAATTCTTGTAAACATGTTCATTGATCAGGTGAAATTTGTACGCACATGTGGTGTGTGAATTAAGTACTTTGGGTATTTAAATAATTTGGCTACTAATCAATTTAGTGTAAACTTAGATTTATCTCCCTTTTATTACTATAAAGCCCATTTCTTTTTTATTTTTATTTTAGAGAGAATAATAAAAAAGAACAATAGCAAAATATCAACAACATAGACAAAAACAAAACAAAGCCAAAACAAAAATGATACAAGGTTTCAGAACAAAATGATAGGAATTAACAGTGGTTGTTATATTACATATTATTATCTTCCGCGAAGTTGCTCAGATTACCAGATGTAAGAATACAAGATTGGTCAAGCCATTGAAGAGAATAAAAAATGAAAACAAAAAAATATTACAAATGATACAGAGTTTCGCTAGACAAGATGTTAGGAATTCACCAATGCTTGTTATATTGCATATTGTTGTCTCCAAATTAGTTGTTCAATTACCAGATATAAGCACGCAAAATTGGTCAAAAAAAAGAAAAACACAGGCATTAACTGATCCTTTCAATAAACCATTAGACATCAGCAGTACAGTTATCCCAGCTATCCTTCTATATACATATACATATATATATATGTATATATATGCCCTTCTTTCTTTCTTTTTCTCCTTTCCCTCATCCTAGTTGTTCCTTCCTTTCAGCAATTTCTTTCCCTTTCATAACATTTATTGTACATTGTGAATTTTATTTACTGTTTCAGGTTCTTACACTAGGGAGACAATATGATGTTTACATAAGTGGGTCCCATTTATTTCACTTATGAGTATGGTCTCTAGTTGCATTTACCCATGGAAGCCTCAAGTTTAGATTTCATATACCTGAGTAATATTCCATTCTATAAAAATACCACATCTTTTTTATCCATTCCTCAGTTGGTGGGCATTTGGGTTGTTTCCACGATTTAGCTATGACAAATTGTGCTGCTATAAACATGGGTGCACGTATATCTCTGTGGTATGACATTTTTCATTCCTCTGGAAAAATACCCAGAAGGGGAATAGCTGGGTTAAAGGGGACTTCCAATCCTAGTTTTGTGAGGAATCTGCACACTGATTTCCACAGTGGTTTCACCAATCTACACTCCCACCAACAGTGGAGAAAAGTTCCTTTTCCCTACAGCCCCTCCAGCATTTGTTATTGGTTGGCTTCTTTTTTTGTTTGTTTGTTTTTGTTTTTTTTGTTTTTTTTTTTTTGTTTTTCTCTGGTACCAGGAACCGAACTCACGACCTTGCGCTTGCCAGGCAGGCGCTTTGCCGCTGAGCTAAATCCCCAGCCCCTATTGGTTGGCTTCTTAATGATTGCCATTTTTTCTGGGGTGAGATGGAATCTCAGTGTTGTTTTAATTTGCATTTCTCAAATGACCAATGATGTTGAACATTTTTTCATATATTTATTCACCATTAGTATTTCTTCATCTGAGAAGTGTGTATTTATCTCAGATGCCCATTTTTAGATTGAATCTTTGAATTTTGGGGCCCTGATTTTTTTTTAATTCTTTATATGTTCTAGATAGAAGTCCTTTGTCTGAGGGGCAGTTGATTAAAATTTTTTCCCAATTCGTGGGATTTCTTTTTACTTTATTGGTGATTTCTTTAGATGTGCAAAAACTTTTCAATAAGATGAGATTCCAATTGTTGATTCTTTGAAGCATTTCCTGTGCAGTTTGGTTTTTGGTCATGAACTCTCTGCCTACTCCTATGTCTTCAAGATTTCTGCCTACTTTTTCTTCCAGTAGATTTAGTGTTTCTCTTTTAATATTTAGATCTTTGATCCAGTTTGACTTTAGTGCATGGTGACAGGCATGGATCTAGTTTTAGTCTTCACCATGTGGAAAGTCAATTTTTCCAGCAGCACTTATTAAAGAAGCTATCTTCCTTCCATTGAACATATTTGGCCCCTTGTCAAAGATAAGGTGGCTGAATGTGTTTGTAGTTGTGTCTGCAACTTCTAAGCTGTTCCCTTGATCTTCTAATCTCTTCCATTGATCTTCAGGTCTGGTTTTTTTTGCCAATATCATGTTGATTTTATCAGTAGCTTTGCAGTATTATTTCAAATCCTGGGTTGTGGTGCCTCCTGCCTTTCCTTTCTTTCCCAGGATTGCTTTCACTATTCTAGGCTTCTTCTGATTCCAGAGGAATTTTAAGAGTGTTTTCTCTAGGTTTCTGAGGAATGCTAATGATATTTTGATGAGGATTGCATCAAATCTGTACAACAATTTTGGGAATATGTTCATTTTCACAATGTTGATTCTTCCTATCTATGAGCAGGGAATATCTTGCAATTTTCTGAAATCCTTTTTGATCTCTTTTTTCAGAGTACTGTAATTTTCACTGTACAGATATTTTACTTCCTTTGTTAGTTTGATTTCTACGTATGTCATTTTTGGAGATGACATTATGAAAGGTGTGGTTTCCCTAATTTTTCTGTCAGTCTGTTTGTTGTTTGTGTACAGGAATGCTATTGATTTTTGAGTGTTCACTTTGTATCCAGCTGTGCTACTGAATTTGGTTATTAAATCTATAAGCCTTTTGGTGGAGTTTTTAGGATCTTCTATGTAGATTATCATGTCGTCTGTGAATAATGATAATTTCACTTCTTCCTTTCCTATCCTTATTCCTTTTATTTCTCTCTCTTGTCTAATTGCTCTGGCCATATTTCCAGAGTGAGAGTTTTCAATTTTTGACCATTTAATATGATGTTAGCTGTTGGTTTATCATAGATGGCTTTGATCAAATTGAAGTAAAGACCATCTATTCCTATTTTCTGTAGAGTTTTTATCAAGAATGAATGTTGGACTTCATCAAAAGCATTTTCTGCATCTACTGAGATGATCAAGTGATTTTTGTCTTTGGCTCTATTGATATGGTGTATTAAACATTAATTGATTTGTGTATATTGAACCCTTGCATTCCTGGGATGAATCCCACGTGGTCATGGTGTATAATCCTCCTGATTATTTGTTGCATTCTGTTTGCTAGTATTTTATTGAGAATTTCTGCATCTATATTCATTAGGGAGATTGGCCTATAGTTTTCTTTTTTGCTTGGGTCTTTCTCTGGTTTTGGTATCAGAGTAATACTTGCCTCCAGGAATGAGTTAGGGAGAGTTCCTTCCCTTTCAATTTCATTAAAGAGCTTGAGAACAATTGGCTTTAAATCTTTTCTAATTTCTTGTGGAATTCAGCAGTGAATCCATCAGGACCTGGGCTTTTCTTCATTGGTATTTTTTTATTACATTTTCAATTTTGGTGGTTGATTCAGCTTTGGTTCTTCATTCAGCTTTGGTAATTCATATGTATCTAGGAATCTGTCCATTTCCTCTGTGTTTTCCATCCTATGAGAGTGAAGATTTTCAAAGTAGGTATTGATGATCTTCTGAATTTCTACAGGATCTGTAGTGATTTCATCCTTTGTATTCCTTATTGCATGAATTTCAGTTTTT